AGGGTCCAGAGAAGAGCAACAAGAATGATTAAAGGTCTTGAGAACATGACCTATGAAGGAAGGCTGAAAGAATTGGGTTTGTTTAGTTTGGAAAAGAGAAGACTGAGAGGGGACATGATAGCAGTTTTCAGGTATCTAAAAGGGTGTCATAAGGAGGAGGGAGAAAGCTTGTTCACCTTAGCCTCTAAGGATAGAACAAGAAGCAATGGGCTTAAACTGCAGCAAGGGAGGTCTAGGTTGGACATTAGGAAAAAGTTCCTGTCAGGGTGGTTAAACACTGGAATAAATTGCCTAGGGAGGTTGTGGAATCTCCATCTCTGGAGATATTTAAGAGTAGGTTGGATAAATGTCTATCAGGGATGGTCTAGACAGTATTTGGTCCTGCCATGCGGGCAGGGGACTGGACTCGATGACCTCTTGAGGTCCCTTCCAGTCCTAGAATCTATGAAAAACACTGCCCACCCTGGGCCAGTAGAGTCCACCCCAATGACACTGCTCCTCCCCACGCCACTAGTGCCCCTCATGACACTGCCCCTCCCTCACCCAGGGCTAGCTCAGTGCTTCAACACTGCACCTTTGCCTCCCCACCCTGCACCCAACCAACACTGCCACCCCACACTAGTACAGTGCACCCCGACACTGGGCACCCACCCTAGGGCAGCACACCTCGACACTGCCCCATTCCCACCCTATGACGCAGCATCCCCCATCCCAAGGCCAGCTCACTGCACATCTTATGCCAAGATGCTGCAGCTCAAGGGCCCCCCCCCCCCTTCAGCCCAGGCCCCTCTCACTGGGGTGAGCTTGAGGTCCTGCAGCACGTCGTCCATGTAGTGATACTCGGAGAGCTCAGTCTCCACCATCTCATTCTTGAGCTCCAGCACCCGGCCCATCACCCCATCGAGCATGTGCTGTAGCACCCGGCGTTTCTGCGGATGCACCATCTGGTCGTAGCAGGTCTCCAGGCAGCGCAGGATCTGTGTGTAGCGCAGGAACAAGGTGGCCAGCATGTGGAAGAACAGCCTCTGGTCCGTCTCAGGCCGTGGGGGCTGAGACGGCAGCTCCTGGGCCAGCAGCTCCTTTAGGGCAGCCTGGGACTCGAGCCACATCCTTGTGTAGGTGCTAGAGAGAGCAGGACATCTCCTCAGGGCCAGGGGGCTGGAGATGTGGCCACAGCCCACACTGCCGGGGCCTAACTGCCCCCTTGTCCTCCCTCCAGAGGAACAGCTCTGGCAGCCAAGCCCCAACCCCAGGGCCCATGGGCTGTTTGCACAGGGACTGCACAGAACTGCAGCAGGTGTAATTCACAGCTTCAGTGATTTGGGGTCATGTCAGTGTATGGATCCTCCCCTCCCCCCACAACAACAACCCAGCTTAGAGCACTCGCCTCCCCTCCTGCAGCCCAAAGTCAAAGTCAGACTGCCTTTCTGTCCTTCACCAAACCTCCACCCCATCAGCCCAGTGCCCACACCCCTCATGCTGTACTGATCCCCCGCCCCAACCTGATACCTGCCCCACAATACCCCAGTGCCCCTCACAGACCTCCCATTGCCCCCACCCCACTGACCTCCCCAGGCTGACACCCCACAATACCCCAGTGCCCCTCACAGACCTCCCATTGCCCCAGTGCCCATGCCCCACACGCTGCACCAACTCTCCCCCCCACCACCACACCCGGGGCCTCTCCCGCCAAGGGGCAGCCCAGGCTTTTCCCCAGCCCCCTACGCCAGGCCTCACCGGCTGGACATGGCGCCCACACCCACTCCGCCCCCAGGCTGCCCTGCGTGGGGGAATTGTCCTGTCACTCTGGAGACCAAACCCCGCCCCCCATTGACCAGGGCTGTTCCCATGGAGACAGTGGAATGCTCACTAGCTGCCCTGCCACATGGGAGCAGAGATTCCCCCTCCTCCCCTCCCCCGGGAACCCCAGGCCCGGCCTGGGCAGGGGGCCCGAGCTGGCAGCGAGCCCCTGGAGGCAGCGCCCTGGCCCTGCACAGCCCAGCCCCGGGGGACGCTCCCGGCGGGGCTGCTGCTGCTCTAGCCCCCTGCAGCCTAGGCCTGGGCAGGGCGCACCCACGCGGCCGGGACCCCCCTCATGGAGTCAGAGGGGACCTTGTCCTGCTTAGCACAGGCCCATGGACCTGCAGCCCCCACCCACCTGCGCCACCCTCGCCAGCCAGGGCAGGGAGGGCACACCCGGCTTAGTTCAGGGACAGCACCGGTCAGTGGCTGAGTCACACTTAACCCCCACCCACCCCACACACACACAGTCACTGCTCCCCCTTAGAGGTTGTAGGTTTTATTCCTGTGGGTAGGAACAGAGTCATCGGCTCCTCAGGCCCCCACCCCACGCTGCCTTCGCGGTCACTTGCTGCTGGTGTACTTGGTGACAGCTTTGGTGCCCTCAGACACGGCGTGCTTGGCCAGCTCCCCCGGCAGCAGCAGGCGGACGGCGGTCTGCACCTCGCGGCTGGTGATGGTGGAGCGCTTGTTGTATTGTGCTAGGCGCGAGGCCTCTGTGGCAATGCGCTCAAAGACATCATTCACAAAGGAGTTCATGATGCTCATGGCCTTAGAGGAGATGCCAGTGTCAGGGTGAACCTGGCAGGAAAGGGAAGAGTGTGAGGAGAGGTGGTAGCTAGCTCTGCCCCCATCCCATCCCACCCCCAGGCCTGCCTCTGTCCCTTCCCCTGCACCAGGGGAGCTGCAGGAAAGGGACGGACAGCATGGGAGCATGGCACACAGCAGGCAGAAGGGGCATTTCTGGACCAGTGAAGGCAGCTGGCAGGAGACAAAATAAGGGCCTGTGAACCTAAGGAGGGCACCACTCCTGCCTCCAGCCAGATTCGTCATAAGCCAAGACAACTCCAGTCTGGTCTCAGGGGTGGCAGTAGGCCAGTCCCAGCCTGTTGTCTTTGATCAGCATTACAGGAATATCGAGAGGCTCCAGTCAAGGATGAGGCCCTGTTGTGCTGGGTGCCGCAGGCAGTCTCTGCCTCAGAGCCCACCCTTCTTGGGAATGGAGACAGCAGGTGGTGATGGTGGGGGACACTCGTGTTTTCCTATAGACTGCACACAATGCAGCCCCCTACTCAGGGGGTGAGCAATAGAGCACTCATCACACAGGTATCAGCACAACCCCACTAGATATTGAGGAGGGGAGCCCTCAGCTATCACCTACTTCCCCCAGTCCACTCTGCACCAGGCTGCAGAGCTAGGGAACAGAGCCATCAAGCAGGAATTTCCACAGGAGCCCAGCAGGGCCATAGCAGCTGCCAACTCCCTCCCCCAACTTTATAAAAAGGCTTTTTCTAGGTTGCTCAAGAGCCCCAGCACTGGTGCATCCCACCCTGGCTGTACGTGCATCTCACATCCCAGAGTGGGGGAGGGACAGCCCTTGTTGCTAGGGCTCTCGAAGACAACACAGGAACCCTGCATTTGTCTGTGACCCATTGATTTCCGAGCTACTGACAGGAGGAGCTAATGGACTGCCCTAGGAACAGGTGTAATTGACAAAAGAGGACTAAGCCCAGAAGGTAGTGGAGTGTGTGAAGACACCAGAGAGGTCAGATTGCTAGATCCAGACCAGGAATCTTTGCATACAGAAGGGGTGGTAGCACCAGTGTTAGAGATAAAATCCTGGGGAAGGGGCTGCTAGCAACAATCCTGTCCTAGGTCCCAGGTGAGGGCTAGGATGGGCCACCTCATAGGATCTTGCAGACCTTATGCCCCTCTCCAGTGCCTCCCCTGTTAGCTCATAACACCCAGAGACCTAAGGAGGCTGGAGTCACACACACATTGTGTGTGTGCGTATCTGCTTCTGAGCACACACACCCAGTCTCCTTGTGGGAATCCCACCCCACCTGCAGGGGTAACAACATAACAGCTAGAATTGATAGAGTAGCCAGGTGGGATAAGCCCTTCACTCACCTGTTTCAGCACTTTATAGATATAGACTGAGTAGGTCTCCCGTCTCTTCACCTTCCGCTTAGGTTTCTTGTCCCCAGAGACAGGGGCTCGGCCTCTCTTCTTCCCAGCTTCTGCACTCATTATTGATACCTCTCCAGACACCACAAGCCAGACTGTAAATCACTAGGGATGGCTATATAATGAGGGTATTACCTGCCACAGGTGAGACCACTAAGGAGGGGAGGAGCTCCCCGGAGTGGATCCAGCCAGCAATTCTTCCTTGGTTGAGAGCCCCACCAGCCCAGAAAGGAACTCAGAGGAAACTAATTTGGTTCAATGAAATTTTATTGGCCTGGCAAACTGCCAAAGTCTAACAAAGGCAGAGCCCTGAGCCCTTCACAGTGAGCCAGGTTCCACCAGCCCAGGATGGGTCTTCACTGGGTGTTGGAGAGTTGTTCCCTAGATCTACCCCTGCTCAGTGGGAAGATTGCAAATCATAAAAGAGGGACTGACCAACCTTCCCCCAAGAGCTGCTGGAACCAGCTGGTGCCAAAGTATGTGTGCAGCAAGAAGGAAACATTGACTCTGTAGCTGAACAATTGCAGTGAGGTGAACCCTGCAAGCCAGCGTGACCCTATCCCCAGTCCAAACTAGCCCAGGCACCTCTCTGGAGTCATGTCCCACTCACAAAAAGAGGGGACATTGCAAAGACTGGGGTGAACTCTATGGCAGCAGTGCCTCCATGGACACCCCTGGTCTTCAGTACCAACGTGAATCTCTTCACCCTCAGGGGGATATGCAGGGCTGCGGAGGTGTCTCTGGAGCTCTCCTGGGGATGAATCAGTGACCACAAACTAGTGGTAGAAATCAGGTACACAGCAGTCTTACCCAGAGAGATTCATAGAATATCAGGGTTGGAAGAGACCTCAGGAGGTATCTAGTCCAACCCCCTGCTCAAAGCAGGAATAATCCCCAACTAAATCAAGGAGAGAGGAGTGACTGTGCAGCCAACGTGATGGAGGAGAGACTGAGGTACTTTCTATCCAATGTCCCACAGATGAGAGCGAGATTACTTCAGATGATTAAGAACCATAAAAGACATCTCATAAAAGGGTGATAAATGAAATCTGTGCCTGCCCCTGGGTGCTGGAGATAAGCAGAGAGCCTCATGCCATGGATCCCATGCCACCAGGTCAGGAACAGAAGGCAATGACTAGACATGGGATTACACCCCACACACAGTATCTGACATCCTCCTGGGAGAGTCACACACACATCTGACCAAGAGCAGGCAAAGCGGGTGTCTGGCTCTTTCTTACACTTTGGCAGCACTTGTATAGCTTGTCTTTCCAATAACATCTCACTGAATTGAATTTTATTCCTGGCCCATCCCCTGGGAGATGGATCAGAGTGCATGTCCCCAGGGAAATACAAGCATCTGTCACCATGGGGAGCGGGGGGGGGAAGCCAGGAAAATCCAAACAAACACTAATGAACGTGCTACTTCTGCCAGCCCCCTGTCTGGCTTCCCATCTGCACCTGGCTGGAGGAATCAATGTCAATCAATGCACAGTGCTGGGAAAGGGGTTGGAAGCGCACGAGAGTCTGGCTCTAGTATCAAAGGGGTAGCCATGTTAGTCTGGATCTGTAAAAGCAGCAAAGAGTCCTGTGGCACCTTATAGACTAACAGACGTATTGGAGCATGAGCTTTCGTGGGTGAATACCCACTTCTTCAGATGCATGCGTCTGACAAAGTGGGTATTCACCCACGAAAGCTCATGCTCCAATACGTCTGTTAGTCTATAAGGTGCCACCGGACTCTTTGCTGGCTCTAGTAGTGAGCAAAAGCCATCAGTGTCAGACCCCATCTCTGATGGGGTGGGAGAGGTTGGTCAGTCAGAGCGTGTTCCTAGGGCTCAGTCTATCAGCACCAGGCCCTGTGTCCAGCCTGGTGGATGGACCACCCCGAGATTAGAGGTTTGTCAGTGTCAGGATCTCTGCTTGGCTAGAGGCCATGCGTGGATCAGATGTGACACACAGCTGGCCCTGCGTCACAGGCTTGCAGAATGGCTTGCAAACTGTGTTGATAAAAGGCAACAGTGTTTATGGAATGGACTTCTGTAAGGCATGTCAACTGGTGCCACAGGACATTCTGGTAAAAAAATAGAATTATACAAAATTAACATGACACATACTAAATGGATTAAAAACTGGCAAAGTGACAGATCTCAAAATGTAACTAAACAGGGAATCATCATCCAGCAGGTATGTTTCTAGTGGGGTACTGCAGGGATCAGTTCTTGGCCCTAAACTATTTAATATTTTTATTAGTGACCTGGAAGAAAACAAAATCATTCCTGGTTAAGTTGGCAGATGACACAAACACTGAGGGAGAGGTAAATAATGGAGCAATCTGGACCACTTGGTAAACTGGGCACAAGCAAACAATGTGTGTTTTAATCTGACCAAATGTCCTTACCCAGCTAGGAACAAAGAATGAAGACTGTATTTACAGAATGGCAGACTCTAGCCTGGGAAGCAGTGACTCTGGAAAAGACTTGGGTCCTGATGACCCTGACGGAGGGAGGGATAGCTCAGTGGTTTGAGCATTGGGCTAATAAACCCAGGGTTGTGAGTTCAATCCTTGAGGGGGCCACTTAGGGATCTAGGGCAAAATCAATACTTGGTCCTACTAGTGAAGGCAGGGGGCTAGACTCAATGACCTTTCAAGGTCCCTTCCAGTTCTAGGAGATAGGATATCTCCATTAACTTAATTTAAAAAATTTAATGACTAATCGACTGAACATGAGCCCCCAGCTACCACTGTGCACAAAAGGGCTAATGCAATCCGTGGAGGTATAAATGGGAATATTGAGCAAAAGTAGCAAGGGTACACTACCCCGTATTTGGCTCTGGTGCAACCATTGCTGCAGTACTGCCTCCAGTTCCGGCGTTCATAATTCAAGGATCATAGAATGATAGGAGTGGAAGGGCCTTGAGATGTCATCTAGTCCGGTGCCCTGCACTCGTGGTAGGTCTACGCATTATCTAGACCAGGGGTTCTCAAACTGGGGGTCGGGACCCCTCAGGGGGTCACATGGTTCTTACATGGGGAGTCACAAGCTGTCAGCCTCCACCCCAAACCCCACTTTGCCTCCAGCATTTATAATGGTGTTAAATACACAAAAAGTGTTTTTAATTTATGAGGGTCGCACTCAGAGGCTTTCTATGTGAAAAGGGTCACCGGTACAAAAGTTTGAGAACCACTGATCTAGACCATTCCTGAAAGGGGTTTGTCTAACCAGCTCTTAGAAATCTCCTGTGATAAATGAAGGGGGGGAGTAGCTCCCTTTTATGGACACCCAGCCAGCCAGTAGATATAAAATCCCTCTTAGTAGCTGTTCTCTAATTGCTCTACCTGTAAAGGGTTAAAAAGTCTCACTGCCATACATAGGTAAAAGGAAGTGAGTGGGCACCTGGCCAAAAGAGCCAATGGGAAGGCTAGAACTTTTTAAAATTGAAAAAGCACTCCCCTTTTGTCTGTCTGTCTGTTGTTCTTCCGGGGAGAGGTGGACAGGGCAGCAGCTATGCTGTAAGAAGCTTGGGCCAAGTATAAAAAAATCATCAGTATCATAGCTAAAAACTACTTATTTAAAACCCCAGATATGTAAGTAGATCAGGAAATGTCTAGGAAGATGCAATTAGGTTTATTCTTTTTGTTTCTTTATGGCTTGTAGATTCCTCTGTGCTAACCTCAGGTGCTTTTGTTTTGCTTGTTTTTTTTTTTTTAATAAAATTTATCTATTTTAAGAACAGAATTAGATTTTTGTGTCATAAGAGGTTTGTGTACATGTTTAATTAGCTGGTGGCAACAGCTGATTTCCTTCCCCCTCCCCCCTTCTTTCTCAGCTCTTCCCCAGGGGTGAAGGGGCTTGAGATATCCCACAGGAAGGAATTCCCAAGTGCGCCTTCCTGGGCTCTCAAAGGGGTTCTGCACTTGGGTGGAGGCAGCATTTACCAATCCAAGGTCAGAGAAAAGCTGTAGCCTTGGGAGTTTAATACAAGCCTGGAGTGGCCAGTATTAATTTTTAGAATCCTTGCGGGCCTCCACCTTCTGCACTCCAAGTGCCAGAGTGGGGAATTAGCCTTGACATTTCCAATGATGGAGATTCCACAACCTCCCTAGGCAATTTATTCCAGTCCCTAACCACCACGACAGGAAGTTTTCCTAATGTTCAACCTAAACCGCCCTTGCTGCAATTTAAGCCCATTGCTTCTTGTCCTACCCTCAGAGGTTAAGAACAACCATTTTTCTCCCTCCTCCTTGTAACAACCTTTTATGTACTTGAAAACTATCGTGTCCCCTCTCAGTCTTCTCTTTTCCAAACTAAATAAACACAATTTTTTTAATCTGCCCACAAAGGTCATGTTTTCTAGACCTTTAATCATTTTTGTTGCTCTTCTCTGTACGTTCTCCAATTTCTCCACATCTTTCCTGAAATGTGGCACCCAGAACTGGACACAATACTTCAGTTGAGGCCTAATCAGCACGGAGTAGAGCGGAAGAATTACTTCTTGTGTCTTGCTTGCAACACTCCTGCTAATACAAGAAGGATGGTGATAAATTGCATCAGGTTCAGAGAAGAGCCTCGACAATGATTAAAAGACTGGAAAACCTGCCTTATAGTAATAGACTCAAGGGCCCAGATCCACAGCAATAGTTAGGCACCTAAACTCACTCAGCACCTAAGTTTTCAGGGTAAAAGTTTCTTCGCCACCTATGTTTGTATTTCTGGGCACGTGAGGTGCTGTTGCCTCCCCTCTGGGTGTCCAGATGCCTGTCTCCCACTTAAGGCCCAGAGCGATTCACAAGCCAGGCAAGACAACCGTTTGGCTGCCTAGTCACATGCAGGGCCTAATCCGGTAGGCATGCTCAGAGGCTGCCTACTGGATCAGGTTCCAATCAAAATCCAGGAAGAGGAAGAGGTGGTGGTAGTTCTGTTATACTGTGGAATAATACTTAATAGTTATAAGGCCAGAGAGCGAGAGAATGACTCTGCAATCCAGTGGTTAGGGCACGCCCCACCCCCTGGGAGGTGGGAGACTCCAAGTACAGTCCCCCTGCACCAGTCACTCTTTAATGATTTAATCCACAGTGGAACAGCTTCAAAGAGAATGACTGATGGTGCCCGCATCAGAATATCCCATAGCTTCCCCGTCCAAGCACTCTTTTGAGAGGTGGGAGACCCCTGTTCAAATTCT